AGAACCACAACAGGGAATAATGTGAAGGGACTCAACATTTCCATTCCTTTGAGCTTCGTGTTTCACTTAAGATCTCACTAGGTCTCGCCAACCTCTGGGCAGGCACCACTACGCACGTTACTGAAACCCTAAACAATCAGATTTTACTCTCACTTCTAGACCAAAGACCCCCACTTTCGAGCACGGCAGTGGTTTCTATAAACAACCTGAGTGGAAAACAAGCAATAAATGTCGCCCTGAGTCCGGTTTTGTTCTCACACCGGTCTTCGCAGATGCTTTCCAAAGAGCCCCCCACGAGGTGACTAACAGCAACACACCAGAGCCTGGGCTGATTACTGAAGACATTCACCGTGGGCCTGGGCACAGGTTAATGGTGTCGATCTCCCGCGACTCATTCAGTGTGTCCCCAGCATGAACCAAAGACTAGGAGGTGCCCCACGATGCTGCCTCGCAGCTGACAGGCTACAGGCTTTCTCCGGAAGTCCACGCGGTCGCTGGGCCACAGCTACCCCAGGGAGGCGGAGACCCACACATGACTAGGGAGGAAGTGACCTTCCGTGGTGTTTCCATGAGGTCGCGCCGGCTGCGGCTCAGGTCTTCGCACTCCCGCAGTTGCAGACTCTCGAGTCCCGTGCAGCCTCCACTCTCGCCCCGCCCCCGTCCCGCCCACTGTGGCCAGGCTCGACCAATCCTGTGCGCCGTCGGGAACGACCTGTCGCAGCCGACGGAAGTACGTCTTACGTCACTGCGGGTGAGCCGCCCTATTTCCGGCGCCCGGTGAGGTGTGGGAGTGGTGCGTGATGGCCCCCGCTGGGGTCTTTTCACACCGTTGGGGTCAGAGGCGATGTTGTGCTCCGGCACCTCACAGACCTCTGCGTCAGAATTTCCCCCTGGCGCCAGCGGTACCTCAAATGTCAGGGCTCGCCCACTCTTCCCGGGTCTTGGCGACCTAACCTTTTGGGGGCTCCAGAGGGGAAATTCTGCTGGACTTCTTCAGAACGTGCTTTATTGCATGGTGAAAAATACATTTATATGATCCCTCAGAGGTACCTCTTTAGGCCCGGTGTCTCGGTTTAAATTCCTCCAAGTCAGGGAAGGTAGAAAACAGGTGAAAGTGATGGCAGCTTCCCCCCTGCACGTGAAATTTCACATCTCAAGTTCATCAAATAATTTGGATGTGAGAAATAAGGAATTTATTAAAATCGGAATAAGAGATTGGGTGATCGCGTTGTGAACTGCAGTGTTCCATAAATGTACTCCTCTATAGCAGTAAAGGAAAACGGTCGAATAGTACAGGGTGGGATCAGCAAGTGGTTACCAAGCACTAGCTGGGGGCCGGGACGGTATAGATGCTGAGGATTCAAAACTGACCAAGATAGAATGGGAAAGTCCTCTCCTGGCTTCGCAGGACCCGCGGGAGACGGGCAAAACGTAAACAGACAAGAAACCACTTAATGATAAACGCAATCAATGGAGGAGAGGAGGGAGCCATAGAGTGTTTACTTAGTAAGATGAGACGCCCAGCGTAAGAGTGACCTAAAAAAATTAGTAAATAGTAAATAGTCTAGTAGTTTCTTCACTAGGATGAGTGAGATAATTCTGCGTAGGGGCCCTGGGTGGCAGTTGCTATCGTGGTAATGCCATGTGTCCATCGCTGAACCGTGAGCTCCAGGAGGCAGAAGAATAGCTAGCTGTTCCTTATATGTTACAACTGCTGCAGTAAACTTAGGGTCTTTAAAACAGGGAAAGTTTTGAGTCTGTACTTCCCACAGTGCATAAAGACTGTCAAAGGTTGAGTCAAAAAGGTAGTGGATGGGGTGGTTCTGCGTGGAAAGAGGAGACTGAACTGGGAGGTGTCTTCACTGCCAGTACAAGAGCAATGCTTTTTGGTAAATGGTTGGATTTTTTGGCTGTGTTCTATAAATGTGTGATGAGAAATGTGTCTGAACTATAAAGAAAGAGTCATGAGTGTCACTGACATTATTAACACTAATAGAGTCAATGGTGGGTAGAGTGTGACATATGGTATGAGAATATCTGAATTTGACCAAGACTGCAGGACCTTATATAGTCATTTCAGTCTTCTGGACCTTGGTCTCTGCACCTGTAAGATGAAAAGTATAGTAATACCTTCCAGAAAGTATATAATGTCTAGAGCCAATGCATGAGAAAGAAAATATTAGCATATTGTTTAAAAGTACCAAGATAATTACCAGAAGAAATAATTTATTTTTTATATTTTGTCTTTTTGAGACAGGGTTTCACTATGCAGTTCAGGCTGGCCTTGAACTCCCTTTGTAGCCCAGGCTCCTCAAAGCGATCCTCCTGCCTCAGCCTCCCAAGAGGTGGGAAAGAAAAAATAATTCAGAATGGAAAATATTTGCTTCTGGGGAGCAGAACTGAGCGTTAGGAAGAACAAACTCCCAGGGATGCTTTCGTACGAGTTAGCTCTGCTCCGTAGCAGCCCCTGCCTACTACAGTCTGCTGTTGGGCAGGGTGATTCTATTTCCGGTTACTTGTTGTGCAGAGTAGCTGGGGCAGCTCTGTTCCACATACAATCATTCTGAAACCCAAGTTGCTGGGGCAGCGGTAATTTCCCTGGGGAAGATTCTTCTGGCGGTGCAAAAGTGTAAAAGCATAGGCCTGATGATCAGGTCCATACAGTGCAAGACTTTGATCAGTCCTGTTAATATCCTTTTGGCCAAAACAAGGCCAAAGCCCAAAGCTGAGGGACAGAAAGTCCACTCACCCATGCAGATGGAGGGAGAAAGGGCAAGTGCTTCTGAAAAGTAGTTCAATCTACCCTAATATTTGAGTTGTCCAAACTGTGTGTAGTGTATGAATTTGATAATAGTTGAAACCAACTCAGATCCGCTTCAGTTCTTGACGGTGAACACATACATCCTTTTAAAATAAAAGCTAACTTCCAGAGCTGGAACAAAGCAGCTTGTCTCTAGTTTTCCTTCCATCTACCTAAATCTTTCCTGTTTGTTTTTGTTTTGAGACAGGGTCTCACTGTGTAGTTCAGGCTGACCTCGAACTCATGATGTAGCCCAGGCTGGGCTCAAACTCCTTCAAAGCTCAAGGGAGTGGCTTTGCCTGCTTCCTTCCCAGCCAAGGGTGAAGTCATTCTGGAATTGAATTCTTAAAATGTCTTTTTCTTAGGCTATCAAATGATTAAGAGCATTTTCAAACATTTATGCAAGTGCAAATGCATACATGACTTTACAACTTTTAAAGTTAAATAAATAAAAAGCACTGTTTGTTCTCATACATTGCTGGCGAGAGTGCTAAGTGGTTCAGCTTGTATGGGGTTGCTCAAATGCACTTCTCACTTCTGGGAATTTACCCTCCATTGTACTTGTACAAGTAGGTCATACTTATAAAGTTATTCAGTTCAGAGGTGTCTGTACAGAAAATGATTGGAAATAACCTACGTTATCGGTGAAGTTCAGGTAACTAACCTATAAAACCACCCACAGGGCATACTACGGCAGAGAGGGATTCTTTCTGATATGGAAAGATTCCAAGATGTTCATATGATAAATATACACAGGTGTGGGTGTGGGGTGAGATTCAGAACAAAGTATAGAGTCTACATTTTGTTTGTTTGTTTGTTTTGAGACAGTGTCTCACTATGCAGTTCAGGCTGGCCTTGAACTCACAGTGATCCTCCTGCCTCAGCCTCCAGAGTACTGGAATTACAGGCATTCACCACCACACCCAGTGCAGTCTACATTTTTATTCAAGAAAGCGGGAAAATAATAGCTATATTTGCATAAAGAAGTGCTAGAAGGAGGTGTAAAAAAGTAAGATTGGTACCTGTAGGAGACAGAGATGGAACACAGTGACACGGGAATGGACATCTGTTCAGTGTAACTAATTATTTTGGGTTTCGAAAGTGGCAAATGTATGAATATTCACATTGAGTGCAGTGGCACATGCCAGTAACCCCAGCAGTCTAGGAGGCTGAGGCAGGTGAGTTCCAAGCTTGAGCTCAGCCTAGGCAAGTTAGCAAGACTCTGACTCAAAATAAAAAAAATAAGGGCTGTGGATATAACTTACTGCAAAGGCCCTGAGTTCAATCCTCAGTACTAAAAAAACCCAAAGTATTAATATTCAAAAATTTAAAAGAAATAAATTAGGTAACGTAATAAACTGAATCCATTAAGTACTTACTAGATTTGTCAGCTCAGCATTGCTTTAATTCTTAGATGCAGCAGCAACGGCAGCACTTTTTCTTGGCGGTACAGATATTCCTCGTTAGACAGACCAACCTGTTTTTCCTGGTACAGTAGATCTTGTTTATATAGTAGTGTAGTTTTTGCTGATTGTACTGTACATATAGTAGCGTGGTTTTATGTTATTATACATTACGCTACTGCATGTAAGAGTTACGGAAATAAAAGCAAAGTCAACAAACTGGAGTTTCCTTTGACCATTTCTTTGTTCTGAACATGGTAATGTACACACTATACATGACTCCTCATTTAACGACCAAGTCGCAGGAACAGAGATCATTAAAGGAGGAATGCCTATACCGGGGGCTGAACCCAGGCCTTTACACTAAACTAATAAACTGCCCCGGCCTGGCCTTGAACCTATGATCCTCCTGCCTCAGCCTCCCGGTGTGCTGGGTCACAGGCGTGCACCGCGCACTGCCTTTGATGACTGTGTAAGTGCTGGACAGAGTCGCCCGGTAACTGGTGACAAACTGTGGGGGGCAGGGCCGGGGCCAGGATGACCAGGAGGAGTCCTAGCACCTGGAGCGGGGTAAAAGCGGAAGACGGTGCAGGAAAGGGGAACAAAGGGATCCAGGAGTGCACAAGAGGAACACGGAGGAATGAATCCATTTCATAGAGCAACTCGCGACGTCCCCCGCTGCACCCGTGCTGAGAGCGCTCGCACCCACCGCGCCTGCCCGGCGGGACTGTGCCATTCTCGGAGCGGCGCGGGGGGAGGAGTTCGTGGGTTTTCTTCCCCCGCAGTCTGGGGTGAGCTCGTCCGGAAGTGACGCACAGTGACCGGAAGCGGCACGAGACTGCGTAGTGAGACGGTGAGGGCCGGGTGGGCGGTGCGCGCGCGTGCCGCTTAAGTGTGTCGGGGTGAGTGGTCCCCGGCCGCGGGACCCCCACAGGGCTGCGAGAGCTGGAAGGGGCGCGGGGTGCAGGCCGGCCCCGCGTGCGCGTGGGCAGGCGCGCGGGCCTGGCAGGGTTCCGGCTCCGGCGGGCGCGGTGGCCTGAGTGGCCTGCGGAGTGCGGCGTGGCTCGCGGCTCGGAGCGCGCTGCTCCCTGAAACGGGCTCGGTAAAGCCCGGAGTGCGTGCAGGCAGCGCCCCAGGGGGACAGGCGGGAGCGGGGGGGCGTGCGCAGCAGCTGGTGCGCTCGCTTCGGTGCGGCGGTCTCCGTCTTCCCCGCCCGCGAACGGGCTTCGACAGCCCTCCACCCACGTTTCTGGTGGTCGTTAGAACTAAAGCAGAAACCGCCCCAGAACCCTTACGAGCTCGCGGCGACAGAGCTACTTAAGTTTTTGCCGCTTTTCTGTGAAACGGTGCTTTGAGATAGTCTTTGTGAAGGGCACCGTGTGACGTGTAAGATCTACAGACGTGTGTTTTAGGGAGCTGCGGATTTAGCAGGATTTTAGAAATTGAATTTAAGAAAATGCCGTAAAGGAAAATGCAAACAGTACTAACACGCGTTAACAGCTTTACGGTTCTCGTCTTAGAGCCATGGATACTGCTGTGTATGGCAGTAGTGACTTAAATGCTGTTTTCCGTGTTTATCCGAACTATTTCCGTAGGAGGTACTTTGCTTGAAAAGGTCCCAACACTAAAAATGTTTGGATATTGTACAGTTCCACTGAAAATTTAAAATATTTTTCTTTTTTTCCTTTTTTTTTTTTTTTTTTTATAAAGACTTTAAAAAGTACAACCTAAAAATGGCTTCAAAGAGAGCCCTGGTCATCCTGGCCAAAGGAGCCGAGGAGATGGAGACGGTCATCCCCGTGGATGTCATGAGGCGTGCGGGGGTGAGTCCCCTGCTGTTTCCTAGCCCTCCTTGTAGGTCACATTGAATAAAACACCATCCCCAGTGCTGGGTGGAATACTTCAAATATATACAACACTACAGTGATTTATAGTAACAACCTGCTTATTCACACCCATGTTTAATGCATCTTGCCTTCTTTGTTTTTTACATTTTGCCTTTCAGACCAGTTTTTTCCTGCTTTCCTCCTTCCTCCCTTCTCTGCTTTCCTTCCTTGCTGTCCATCCATCTGTCCATCCTTGAGCTAGTGTCTCCCTCTGTTGCACACGTTGGCCCTGAATTCCTGGGCTCAGATGATCCTCCTGTCTCAGCCTCCCATAGCTGGGACTACAGATATGTGCTATTGTGCCCAGCCTTTAAAGAGAAACACACCCAGTACTAGGAAAAAAGAAAAGAAAGACACTTGAAGTCCCCTTTGTAAATTTTGCCAGGCCTTTGACCCTCAGCTCAGCCTCCATCGTCACATGAGTGCGTGTGGACCCATGCGTGCCTGAGCAGCAGTGTTAGCCTGTCGGTTTCCTGCGTGTTTAGCTGTATCGTGCATGCCCCGTGCATCCGTGTCCAGCACAGCAGCAAGCACTTAAATGGCACTGACTGTACCCACCTGCACTCTAAGCACTTCTGTAGACCTTACAACAACTCTGTGCGTTCGATACTGAGGAAACGGAGGTGCCGAGCTACTGAATAATTTGAGAAGAGCCAGAACATAGACCCAGGCAGTCTGCCCCAGTCTGTTTATACCTCACTGGTTCTCAGAAATCAAAGTCGTTTTCGATAGGCTGCTTAGTTTTACATTGTGTGAACATGCCTTCCAGTGTGAAGCAGTCTGTATTCCAGCAGCAGCGTAGGAAAATCTCCTGTTTGCCGGATCGCCTCTTGGTATCATCAGCTTTTTTGACATTTGCAAGATAAAGTGGTATTTTGTTGTTTTAACTTGCATTTCTATCTTAGGCAAACACGGTGAGGTTTAAATGGCATCAGTGACCTTACAGGATGGGTTATTAATAGGATGATGGTGTAATTCATCTCCCAAACCAAAACTCTTACGGGCGAAAGGCTGTGGGGACAGACCTAGTTAGTGAACAGATTTAGCTAGCATCGTAGCTTAAATTCAACATGGTTTTGTTGCAGTATTTCCTGCTGTTATTTTAAAACACCTGCAAGCTATGAAAATGTTGACTCAGAATTTGTGTTTCTGCATTCCTAAATGTCACCATGTCTCTCTTTTAGATTAAGGTCACCGTTGCAGGACTGGCTGGGAAGGACCCTGTACAGTGTAGCCGGGATGTTGTCATTTGCCCTGACACAAGTCTCGAAGAGGCAAAAAAGGAGGTTTGTTCTCCATACTTGAAGTTCTCCCTTCATATGGTTTTTCATTCGTTCCCGGCGCATCGAAGGTGGTCATTAGCACAGACTCATTTAGAAACTTGCTTTGCTTGGGAGTCTTCCCCACTGTGCTGGCAGGCCAAGGACTTTCCATTCTTTTCTGTGTCCAGGGAACTTGGCCACTGCTGGGCACCCCATTGTACTCAGTAAACGGGTGCCAGGTGGCTGGGGGGGTGTTTGGTGGGTGCTGGCTCTGTCGTTGGTATTCTGGCTTACAAAGGCATCCTTGCTTCTGATAAAAATGGGTTTTTTTACAAGATACAAGAATCAGCTGTCCCATTTCTCTTTTACTTTTTATTCCTGTTTCTAGTCTTTGACTTTATTTTGAGACAGAGGTCTCACTAAGTTGCTCAGGCTGGGCTCAGACATCTAATCGTCCTGCCTCAGCCTCCCAAGGTCCAGGATTATAGGTGTGCACTAACATGCCTGGCTCCCTTAATCCTGTTTCTGCAGCTACCTTTTACCTTTTCTGCTTTCAGCGACTCAGTAGGTGTGTGGTTCACTGGATAGGGAACAGCTCATCCTTGCTTAGTGGGTACATCAAGGGAAGGCTGAGAGGCTCCTCACAGCGTGTCCCGGTGTCATTCTGTTTAGAACGATGGGCCTCCTTTACGAATCACTGACTGTTGGTTCTCTCTGGAAAGCTGGGATCTCTTTCCTCAGCAACAGGCCCACTCAGACCCCTGTGCTCACCCTGTCATAGGGTCAGGTGTAAGAGGCCAAGGTGACAGGAGGTGGCTGTCTCATCTGGGGACAGACGTGGCTCCTGAGGGCTGTGATGGTCCCGCTGGAGCCAGAGCAGGTTCCTCTGCTGGGCTGTCCTTGCAGGTGGGGAAGGTTTCCTCCTTTCTGTGGAGAATTAGACCATTAATGCTCACATCTGAATTCTTGAAACTTCGAAACAGCCTGGTAGAAGCACAAAGTAGAAGTAAATATTCCCTTTATTCAGTTTTTGTCTGGCAGTGTCTGGGTGTTTTAGGTCAGTGGTTACCTTGTGTAGGTATTTGTTAAGTTCAGATTCTAAAAGGAGTGAAAGAAATTCATCCTTCACACATTTTTTGTTCAGTTTTGCTTGGTTTTAAAACAAACATAAGATGTTTGTGATTGTAAGTAGTTCTAAAAAGTAAATGTACTAAATTTATACACTTTTTAAATTTTATTTAATGACTAATTTTTTAATATCTTTAAGACAGTTTCCATTTTCTGATCTCAGCAAGCTGGAAATTAGATTTATCTGGGATGTTCTGGTGTTTGGGTCACTTGAAATATTGTCATTTTTTTCTTCCCTCACCAAATTCTGTTTTTCTTAATGTTCAAAGTGTTTTTCTTACGCTTTTTACCTAAAATTTGTTTTTCTTTCAGTTTTAGAAATTGCTACCTTTATTCCTGTTGCAGGACAATTCATACAATATAGACATAAGTGTAAAGTCAAAACGATGAATATGTTACTTTTCTCATTGCTGAGGAAAACACCTGACATCCAGAGTTAAAGGGGTAGAGGTTTATTTAGCTCACGGTGTGTAGAGGTTTCATGGTTGGCTGGCTCCTAGGCACAGTGGCTTGGCAGAAGGACATGGCAGAGGAGAAAGAGTTCGTGGTGAGCAGAAGATAGTAAAAGCATCAAGCGGGGGACCTTAGCAGCTCTTTTCTGACCCACTGATACTCTGTCTAGGCCACTGGGAAGAGGGCAATGCCATAACAATCTGTGGACTGATTTAGTAACTACATACCCTGAACCCCAGCATTGCACCTGAATCAGTCACACACTCTAGATCTGGTCCCCTCTGAAGAAGCCATGACTGCATGAGGCTTTGCGGGGGGTGTCCAGACAGAAGCCAAAACAGTGTCCCTTTCTCCTCCCTACAAGCCCACACTCACTATTCCAGCCGATGTCCCTTGGTCTGTGAGAATCTGTGTGCACATACACACATCTGTGCACATACAGTATACATAGTTTGGTCTTTTTATGTGTATGATAGGGTCTCACTGTCTTGCTTAGGCTGGTCATGAACTCCTGGGCTCAAGAGATCCTCCGGCCTGAGCCTCCTGAGTTGATGGGGCTATAGACACAAGCCACTGTACTCTGCGTATTTTTGTTTTTTTACAAGAATGTGGTTTTTATTACACGTGATGCTTTACAACATGTTACTATATCCAGATTTTCTGCAATTTTTGCTACTTATAAAAACGTTCCATCATTGGGACACCATATTTGCTTAACCTTTTTTAGTTTGATTGTTGTTTTTTGTTTTCATTCTGGGAATCCAATCCAGGCCCTCCTGATGTTAAAACATGCACTCTGTCACTTCCTAACTGTTCTTTGATAGGTGCTTGGATTGTCTCTTGTATTTTGCTTGTGATTTAAGTGCAAGTGGTCAGACTGTTATTTCAGTGTCTGTTTGAAATGAACTGTTCTCCATTTGTTCCCACTGTGCCAGGGCCCCTATGACGTGGTGGTTCTTCCCGGAGGCAACCTGGGCGCTCAGAATTTGTCGGAGGTAAAAATCCCCTCTGTTCCACATCACAAAGAGGCAGGAGCAAGGAAGCGCTCAGCATCAGTGCATATGCTGCTGAGTGGGTTATTACCCGATCGCTCAGGGAGGAGGCTGAAAGCAGACGAGGAACAACTAAAATTAACCAGATGGGTTCCAGAAACCAGTTCCAGTAACATTTCCCCCGGAGTCAGCTGACTTGGTAGAGCAGTCCAAAGTAAGAGGCCGTGCTTCGTCCCTGGCAGCGGGAGAGTGGCACGATTTTGTGATGGGTCAGCTTAGATCAGAAGTCGGTTGACAGCTGAGCCGTGGGGCTGGGGGGGTGTGGAACACAGGGCTGCAGGTGCCAGTGTGCCCAGCAGGGGTGGCATCCATGCAGGGTGGGTGGCACAGGACGCTGGGGACGGATCCTCCTGTGCCCCAGGCCCAGGAAGACACAGGTCCCTCCTCACTTGCTTCCTGTCTTTTCCCTGGAGCACGGAACGGACAGGGTCAGATGTGCCTGGGGAAACTTTTTCTTCTCATTTCAAAATGCCTTAGGATCAGTGCCTGGGGGATTAAGAGTCTAGATGTGCTGTGAATTTGATAATTTTCACATTGATGATTTAGTGATATTTTTTAAAAAGTAGATTGAAGCTGTTGTCATTTAAGCTAAAAGCAGCGGCCCACTTGTGTCCTCGCGGTGACCGGCTGTGCTTTGCTTTCTCTGCCCAGTCACCGGCCGTAAAGGAGATCCTGAAGGAGCAGGAGGGCAGGAAGGGCCTCATCGCCGCCATCTGTGCAGGTAACGCGCCCAGCTTGCACCGGGCCCTCGCCAAAGCTGCTCCCTGCGGGCAGCTTGGGCGTCTGTGCGCGGGCTCAGCCTGGGCGACGTGAAGTTGTGCCGTCTTGGCAGTGAGTCCCGCAGTGCTGCTCTCCCTGCGCTCTGAGCCCGTGGTCTGCATTCCATGAACCGACTGCTCAGCATGGCTGGCCTCGGAGGAGAGTGGGCCCGCTGGAATTCAGTAAACAGCTGGTGCAGCAGATCTCACTGCCAGGAGGCCTGGCTGCCAGCGCAGGAGTCAGCAGGAATCCAGCGCGGCGCGTGGCCCTGTGCCTGGCTGAGGACTCACAGCCCGCCTCTCGCCCTGGTGTCCCTGCTTGTCGGTGTGAGAGGCCCTGGGCCGTGCAGTTTAGCGTAAGGTCCTCGGTGCTCCGTGGACGTCCCTGGGTCCGCAGCTCAGTCAGTGTGTTTTCCGGTGCCATCCGAGTCTGTCCTGTTGCCTTGGTGGCAGTACAGCGGGGTTGTTAGGAGAAGCTGTGGGCCAGCCCTTTGCATCAGAGCACCAACACCGAGTCCTGGCAGCAGGTCCAGAGCGGCAGAGCGGGCACCGCCCGGTGCCGGGTCCTTGACATTGTCATGTCAGAGGGTTGGAGCTGTCACCTAGGCAGGGCACCGAGCTCTGGCACTGTCTTGTTTCATGCTTGCCAGTTGGGGGCCGGGGCACAGCTTAGTGTAGAGGGTGAGCATAGCACCTGTGAGGGCCTCGGTTCGGCCCCCAGCGCCTCCCCTCTGGGGAGAAAGTGGACGGTCCCCTTTGGAAACGGGGCTCCTTCCAGATGCTTTGACCAAAGGAAGAAAGCAGGGGTTTGCCTGGGCCGCCTCCCTTACAATTCTGTTGAAACAAACCCTGTAGATACTTTGTCCTTCAGTGTCACTGAGATCGAAAGGTGGCATCCCACACCCAGGCAGCTGTGTGCCATGCTGGGGACCCGCCTGGCCATAACTGAAGCGACAGGAAAGAGGACGCTTGCAGCACCTTTACACGGTGGTGACCCTGAGCTGCCATCCTGGCTTCCGCGTGAGGACCAGGAGGAGGGGTGCGGGCGATGGGGTGGCACAGAGCAGACCGAAGAGATTGAGAGTGGCCAGCTGGCTGAGCCTTCTGACCGTTTGCTGTTTCAAAGAATGGCAGCCCCTGACACTGAGGGAATTAGAGACACATCGGAAGCGAGGTTTTCCTGAGCAGAATAGCATGAGCTTCAGTTTGGTGGATCCAGGTCCAGGACAGGTTTCGGGAAGGGGATGTACAGGAGCCAGGAGTTGGCTCTTTTCCTCCCATGTCCACTGGGTGGCGCTGCGGGTCGAGGTTTCTGCTGGCTCCGTCCTCAGTGCTGGCTCTCTGCTGCTCCGGAGGGCGGCAAGGCCGGGACCTACATGGGAACCTCAAGCTGTGCAAGCCCACGTATCTCATCTGACTTCCCAAATAGGGTTCTCAGGCCACTGCATGCAGCAGTTACGAGCTTACCACAGTAATGTCGTAGGCAGCAATTTTACCAACGTGAGGGGAGCACCCGAGCACTCCTGCCTCACTGTGGCCGTGCTCCTCCCTGCACGGTCATCCCGGGGCGCAGCTTGAGAGGAAGGTGGTGTGGATTCCTTAGGTCTCCAGATCTTAATAACTAGAGAGGTGACCGTGCGTCCCCTCAATAAACACTGAGCGGTGCCTTAAAAGTCACTGCCGTACGCGGCTGTGCTGTGTGTAGAAGAGAAGTAGAGGCTTGTTTGAGATGTTTTGTTTTGTTTCGTTTTTAAGACAGGGTCTCGCTGTGTGTTTGGGCTAGCTTCAAACTCACTATTTAGCCCACTCGGGCCTCAAACTCAAAGAGAGCCTCCTGCTTCAACCTCCTGAGTGCTGGGATTACAAGTGTGCGCCATCACGCCTGGCTCATTTGAGTCTTATTTTTTTTGTCTTTTTGAGACAGAGTATCGCTATGCAGCTCAGGCTGGCCTTGAACTCACTTTGTAGCCCAGGCTGGTCTCAAACTTGCAGCGATCCTCCTGCCTCGGCCTTCTGAGTGCTGAAATTACAAGTGTGCACCACCACACCTGGTCTAGAAACTTTTGATTGCAGAGCTACACCCAGACTTGGTCTGAGGTGGACACTTGATACTAGGCAGAGAGCTTCAGTACTGGGTGCTCTTGGTTGTTTTTTTTTGTTTGTTTTTTGTTTTTTATCTTTTTGAGACAGGGTCTTGCTATGCAGTTCAGGCTGGCCTTGAGCTCGCAACAATCCTCCTGCCTCAGCCTCCCAAGTGCTGGGATTACAGGTGTGCGCTACCACGCCCAGCTCTTGCTTTGTCTTGATCGGGCTAGAGCGCAGTCTCAGTGCCATGACTGCTGTCTCCTGGCAGGTACGGGCCAGGCCAGCAGGTGTTCTCGTCCTGGTGCAGTGTGAGGCCAGAGCACTTACACACACAGCTGAGAGAAATAAGGCAAAAGAAAGCCTTTTGAAAGCTTGAAGGTAGTAATGACCACAATCTTTTTGACTCTAGTCTTTGAGGACTGGTGTTTACAGTATCTGTTGTGGCTGTCACTGAGGTTGACCGTTTCCAGGGAATACACTGGGCTATAAATCTGGGTTAGTGCTCAGGTGTTTTAAAGACTTCATCTTAAGAAGCAGGGAATAAGGCAGCACAAGCTGACCTTCCTGCACGGTTCTTTGCTGAGTAGTTTTAGGAAAGTCCCTTGTGCCTTTGTTTCTCAGGCTGTAGCGTAATTCCCCAAGTTTCTGCTTCTGGGCAGTGTGCTGTTCTTTTTAATTCCCTACTTCTAGGTATATTTCGATGGATGGATGTTCGTTTTCCACTTTGAACTAGGAAGGTAAAATTGTAAAAGAGAAATAAGGTTCAGAAGTTAGAGGGTGCCAGCTGCCTGTGTGCTCTCTGAGAGGCGGTGCGCCCGGTGCCCGGTCTTTGGCCTCCCGTGCAGGGCGCTGCGGCACCTTCACGTGCCCTTGGGCAGCAAGGGGAGCTTCGATTAAATGGCGCTGTAGTATTTTGAGTTCGCGCAAAGCTTAGCCAGATGCGCTCAGCAAGTGGCTCATAAAACCGTCCTCATTCTAAGCAGCGTTCCATTTCAGAAGCATGTCTCTTTTTAGATGAGAGCCTCTTGATTTGGAAGAATGCTTTTACTGTTGCAGTTTCTAAAGCTTGGGTTTCTCTGCATCTGCGCTCAGATCTTTTTATTAATCTTATTTTTAGGTCCCACGGCTCTGCTGGCTCATGAAATAGGCTTTGGAAGCAAAGTTACCACGCACCCACTTGCTAAGGACAAGATGATGAATGGGAGTAAGTACAAGCTTAGTTTTCGCGCACAGAAGGCCCTTCTCGCAGCGCTGTGACTTCGCACCCTTCGCAGGGCCCAGCCTGGCGGGGTGGGGGCCATCCCCGACTGTCGCACATGGAAGGCGAGCGCGAAACACCAGTTTAATGAGTGTTCTTTCCAAACACACTGTCAGCAGCCTGGGGTAAATTTTCAACCCCGACAGCAGGTTCAGAAAGTGCCCTTTCACCCGAGGTCCAAAGGAAAGGCCCGAGCCCAGCCTTCTCCCTGCACACACGCTGCCCTCACACGTGTCAGGGAAGCTTGCGGATTTCTTGAATTATCTCTGTAAAAAGCACGCTCAGTTCGTGGTGACTGTGAACTGTGTAGAAGGTGACCTGAAAGGCCAGGCTCCTCCCCGCCTTCCCTCCTCTTGTCACAAGTGACACCTGGGAAGTGTCTCGTGGCGCTCGAGAACTTTCTCTGCACTTGCTGCACCTCCTTTTAATACTTTTACTCAGATGAGGTCTAAGTGCATTGGTCTACAGCTTGCTCTTGTTGTTTTTGAGATGGCTTCTGGCTGTGTTGCCCAGGCTAGATCTTCACCTCTTAGGTTCAAGGGATCCTCCCGCCTCAGCCTCATGGGAGCTGGGATGACAGACATGTGCTACTGCATAAAGCTGCAGCTTGCTCTTTCCTATTAGGTCTGTGTTTTACCCGCTGGCTGTGGGGCTGTGGCAGGTCCCTTAATCTGTCAGAGCCCCAGTGTCCTCATGTGTCCTGAGGGGGTCGTTGCCGCGCTCTGGGGGTTAACCTGTGTGATGCACCCTGAAGGCTGCCTGGCAAGCAGGCACTCGCTCCTGCCTGCAACACAAGGGGCCGTCCTGGGCTACGTGCAGGACACAGGATAAAGACCGCCCTCCCTGTCCACGGTCTGGAGTGACCCTAGGGAGTTAGGAGGCTCAGAGCTGCTGAAGGGCAGACGGAGAAGCGCTGTGCTTGGGCACAGCGGGCGTGGCTCCACGGCCAGGTGGCAAGTCTCGGGCCTCCCAGGGCTTCAGGCCTGGGTGGCCACTGTTAGCTGTCCTAGCTCCGCGTAAACAGGGTGCTGCGGCTTCACCCCAGGAAAGCGTTATGGACAAACCCAGGCAGTGGCCTGTCGTTCCTGACCCCTGTGTCCCTCGCTGGCCCACTGGCTTTTTCTCTGAAGAGATTTCCTGGGATCTTTGCCTGAAGCTTTAAAAAAAAAATCCATGCCTTGTACTGCTTTGCACGTGAGGTGTGAAACATGTCCCAGGAGGCTGGGTTTGGGGTTCTCCTTGCGTGGCTGTTCTTCGTCACTGCCACTAGGTGGAGCGGTTGACAAGGGTAAGCCTCTTCCAGTTGAGATTCTGAAGAGAATTTTAAACCTATTTGGTGAGCTTTGGCCCTGCCTGTATGATGTTACCTGCAGAGCTGTTGCAGGTGAGCCGTTGATGATTTCCTTGCCTCCCTCACCTGCTCCCCAGCGGCCCCTGCTGCCTTCCTAGCTCAGCACTGAACCTGTCCTGGCCCAGTTTGGCCATCAGGAGGGGACGGGGGTAGGGGGTGGGGGGCACGGAACTGTGCAGCGGGCCACCCCCCACTCCCCCTGGACAGGGTCCTTTCCCTGCAGTCTGGGGGGTACCCCAGGGATCTTGCATACCAGGAAGTAGAGTCAGGGCCCCCTTGCCACACAGCGCAGCGGGAGCTCTGTGCTTACCTTCCCGGCCGTGGAGCAGGCTGGGGACGGAGTAGTCCAGGGAGCCCGCCACAGCGATGGAGAGGTGCGGCAGAGACTGGGTCACGAGGGCCCCTCAAGCGCCTCCGCCGGCAGGGGCACCTCCTTAGTGTCCCTAGGGCTAGGGCAGGCGGGGCTAAGGGAGGAGCGCCCTTGGAAGTGGCCATAGCAGCGAAGTCAGAGGCTGGCAGAGGGCGTCGAGCAGTGAGGAGTATGCTGCAGGGGGCGGAGGCCCGTCCGGTGCTGGGGCCCAGGGACCTTGGTGCAGAGGAAGAGCCAGAGCGGAGGCCTCAGGGACAGGCCTTGCCCTGGGCGTCTGGTGACTGCCTGGCATCCGGGGAAGAGGCAGGAGCCCTTGGGAGGACCCCGCCTTGCCGAAGCGGGTAGGGGCTGCAGAGCCCTTAGGGTGAGGCCTGGCTCGCGCAGCTCCGCCCCGCCGGCCTGGGGCTCCTGGGCTCCCAGCAGCTGGGTGGCCACATGGCCACCCCATTGCCTGGGTGTGGGGCTGCCGAGTCCTCCGTGCCACCGTGAGTGGTTTCAGGGCCGGCCACATAGGGAGGGGACAGCAGTAGTGTGCTGGAACAGTGACTGGCGCTGCCCGTCAGGACGTGGCCTCTTCTTTCTGCTGCAGATCATTACAGCTACTCCGAGAGCCGCGTGGAGAGGGACGGCCAGGTGCTCACCAGCCGCGGGCCGGGCACCAGCTTCGAGTTCGCGCTGGCCATCGTGGAGGCGCTCAATGGCAAGGAGGTGGCACAGCAGGTGAAGGCGCCGCTTGTGCTCCGGGACTAGCGCCATGCTGGGAGCCAAGGTGGGCCAGGGCCACCAGGGTCCGGGCCCTGCACACAGCATGGCGGGCGCCAGGCCCAGAGCTCCTGCACCCACTGTGGGGGTTTCAGCTGTAAAGTGACCGCTCCTGGCCTTCCCGGCCCGCACCGGTGTCTGCACATTTCTGAATAAAGCAAGCAGCTCGCAGCTGCTCCTGGCTGCTGCTCTGTCTCCTGTCTTTAATGTGATCCGGTTCCAGAGCCACTGGAAGGAGAGGATGGGGCACCTTCTGCAGCTTGAGGTCAGGGGCACAGGGACAGGCTTTAGCTGCTACAATGTGCTCTTAAAATACCAGTGAGCTAGGGACGGCAGTGCTCACTTGTAATTCCAGTGCTCTGGAGGCTGAGGCAGGAGGATCGCAACTTCAAGCTCAGTCAGGGTAACTTAGAACTTGTCTCGAGGTAAAAAGGGCTGGGGTGCAGTTAGCCCAGAGGCCCTGGGTTCAACCCAGTGCTGCAAAAGGAAACAGCAGAAACTACCAGTCAAGGAGGCAGTGGCGGTTGTGTTTGTAAAGCAGCCGCTCTGTCCACGTGCCAGAGTCCTTGGAGGAATAGCAGACCCCCACAGCTGCCCGGCACCGCCTTCCCTTCCTCCAGCAAGGGTGCCCCACACTCCTGGCGTCCGCACAGCTCCTGTGGGAAAGATGTGCACAGGGGAAACCCCTCATCACGCCGGCCAGATGGGGGACTCCCTCTGGGGCCCCCGCGGCTGCTGATGCATGTGCAGGTGGGATGGAGAGGAGACACCGAGCTGCAGTGCTGGCAGCCGTCTTGTTACCGGGAAGAAGCAGCTCCAACCAAGCGGCCAGGGCAGCTGTAGCTGTGTGACTGCCGCTGCTGGTGAGCAGTGTGAACGACAGTACAGACGGTGCAGGGCCAAGCAGGACTGCTTCTGTGGTGTGGGTCTGAGGGCGGTGGAGGAGCATGTGAGAACTTCATCTGGCTAGAATCAGCTGTCCTCACAGCTGATGTGGAGGGGAGAGCAAACCTAAAAATTTGCCCTAGCAGGAAGGGTGACAAGGCAGTGACAGGGACCTTTCCGATAAGGGACCTGAAGATGTGCAGAAACGAGTGTGGAAGAGGTGGCCACCAAGGCAGAAGAGACAGGAAGTGCAAAGGCCCTGAGGCTGAGTCACAGGATGTGGAGGCTGGGGCAGGGAGAGCTGCCAGGAGCCAGGAGGTCAGGGCTCCAGGTCTGGCCTGGGAGAGGCCTGGACCCCAGGGGTGACAGGAAAGAAACTCCCAACCTGAAAGATACCTAGGGTGAGATCATGTTCTCTAAAAATCAAAGAATGAATTTTAGGAACAACAGAGGTAAACAGCAGAGGGAAAGAAAGCTGTCAGAGAGACCTGAGTGGGCTGCCAGAGTGTAATTGTTGTAAAAATGGATTAAGCCAGGACCAAATGGGGAAGGGAGTCACGTAGCAAGCGGGCATGAACACCAAATGGGCTTTTCCTGAGAGCGGGGGTTGGGTTAGTGACTTCGTGGCTTTTTCAAGGTGATCGGTACGTATTTAGAGTATCAGTCCCTGATGGCCGTCCCTAGGGAGGTGTGTGGATGCGTTTGTTTGGTCTTCTGTCTTGAGGTGGGCTCACAGCGGAAGTGCCTGTCTTGCAGTTGCAAGGTGTCTTGTCGTCCATAGTGGGTCCTCTGAGGGCACAGCCCTGTCTGACTGCCTATGATACTTCTGTCTAACTCAGCTGACGGACGCGGAGGGTTCGAGGGCAGCCCAGGGCCACGCAGAGCCTCCTGGAGTTGCCGTGGGAGACGAAGTGGGTTTGGGGCTCGGGTGGATGCATCCGCTGTCCACGGTGCCCGTGGATGAGAAGAGGACAGGCCTGTGACCCTGAAGGTCCGGTGGAAATAATTTCCTCCCAGCGGTGAATGCGTGCGGGTCAGGCCGGAGCCGTCCCGCCCTCAGCCCTTGCCTGGAGTGGCTCCAGAGCTGTTGGGGTCCACAGCTGCTGTAGACCCCGCTGAGGGAAGTGCTTTCTATGAAGTCGCTTATGGTGCCCGATCCTGGGAGGTGCTAACTTCGCAGCGGCAGTTCGGGGAACCCACCTTACCAAGCCCCGGGGCCTCCTGGCCACTGGAATGTCTGGCTTTGACCAGTGGTGAGCGGGAGCCGAGGCTTCCTGTGCTGGACACACCTAGCAGCTGCTTGGCGGAGCGGGCCGCGGTCTTGGCTTGCACAGGGACTTGGCCTTGGGGTGTAGGGTGGGCCTAGTGGCATCTGCGTCCTCCTGAGCCCGGGGCTACCCAAGGTCAGAGTCCATTTGCCAGATACATTCTTTTGTTTGTGTTCTTGACTTTTTTGACAAAGGGTCATTCACCTTGGAGAGCACTGCTGCAGGGCGGAGGCTGGGCCCGCCCAAGCCCCTGGGAGAGGTGGCAGCGGGTCTCAGGGCCCAGTCTGGGGCAAGCTCAGCCACCATGGCCACATAGACATCCTTACAGGACAGACGGCTCCGGGGATGTACCGCAGCCACTCTGCCGGGGGTGCCGCTGCCCAGGTGCTAGGGCGCCCAGGAGGGGCTGCGAGCCGGTGCCACCCCGAGCAGGCGGCTCACGCGTCCGTCGTTCCTGGTTTCCTTTCACGCTTTCCCGAACAGTGTCGAGGACTCTCTGCCCCCTGCTTTCGCCTACAGTGACCCACACGCGTCTCCCCTCGGACAGGGGAGAGGTCTGCGAGCTGCGCCCTCCCCCAGCCAGCCAGCGTCCTACAAAGTGACCATTGTCTCACCCAGGGTAAAGGGCGAGAAACCCGGTCTCTCAAGAGCTCGAGAACCCATCCATCCTGTGCCATAGCACTGTCATAAAATCAGAGGCCACAGTCAACGGGGAAGGATGCTTCTCAGACGCAGACCGGGAGGGGGCGTGTGTGCCGCCGGCAGGGTCATCAGGGCGCTTGGTCAGCTGCGCGCCTGCCTGGCTTTTCCCTAGGAAGGAGAACATTAACTTCTCCCTAAGCGGAGTCAGCTGGCCGCCTTGAGAAAATGCCCAACTTTGCCCGTCCTTGGGGCAGCAGCCGGGGGTGGCGCCTTCCCCGGGCTTCCGTTGAGCCGAAGACACCCTGGCCAGCATTGAGAAAGGCTTAGCACTGGGAGGAAGGAGAATGACGGCTTCATCATCACCACCGCCACTGTCACCGCCGTCATCACCCTAGTATCATCATCGACACCCCCACCACATCACCCTCACTTCCTGCAGCTCACGGGGTCCACTTCAGGCTCGCTTGCCGGTCCTGAGCAGCAGGCTCCCGGAGGAGACGCCTCGTCCCCCAGGGCCACCCGCCTGCGGGTCCAGCTTTCTCAGTCCCGCGGCTGCAGATTAAAAGTAACACTAGAAAGAAAAGCTGGTGGTCTTAAAAGGTGAAGGGAGACAGCAGTGGCGTGGGAGGACACTCCTGGGGAGCGGCAGCATCCGAGGCCGTGGACGCTCCTCCCCGGACGCTCTCTGGCTGCCAGGTCAGGACACCACGCCAAGTGTGCCCGGCCCAGGCTCCCCTCACCCGGACAGTGCTGTTCCCGGAGCGTACCAAGGAAAAGCGGCGTTTCCCGAGACCCAGGTGCCTTCACCCGTTCTCGCGTGCCCTCTGGCACCCCTGTGCAGGGTGGAGGCCCAGGGGGACTTCCCCGCTGCTGGCAGTGCCTGCTGACCAGGCCTGGGGACGGCGGGTGGCTCTGGCAGCCTGTTCTGCAGACCCTGCTGGACAGAGGCAGGGCAGAGCACAGGGATGGCGCAGGGTCCTCCCTGTGCTCTGCTCAGCCCGGCCCTCAGCTGCAGCAGTAAATCGGTGCAGGAATAAAGCACAGAGTTCCCGGGCAGGGATGAGGTCACTTTGTGCTACCCTTGGTCACGCTTGCACGTGCTTACCCGGGAACGACAGCCACTCAGGCACTTACGCCAGAGCCAATTATCTTGAGGTGGCGGCTAATACTATGTCATGAGTCCAGGAGGCATCAGTGTTAGTGCCACCTGGGCCTCAAAAGCCTTTTGCAAAAATTTAATTATACAACAAATACATCAATACCTGCTGCCAGGGGGCTGGGGATTTAGCTCAGCGGCAAAGCGCCTGCCTGGCAAGCGCAAGGTCGTGAGTTCAGTTCCCAGTACCTGAGAAAAACCAAAAAACCAAAAAAAAAAAAGAAAAAAAAAAAAATACCTGCTGCCAGGAAGACCCAAACATACAGGAGTACATCAAGCAAGACTTGGGAAGCCGCTTTGCAGCCCTTCCTCCGGGTCCCTCTTCCTGTCCAGGACGGTTGACTGCGGGTCCCAATTCCAGTTTCTTTCCCACAGCAAACCTTACACAGATGGTACTTGATAATTTCAAAAGTTATTTTTAAACAAATAGTTAATGGGCGCCATCATTGTATACATTGTTTCGCAAATTGGATTTTTTTTTCAAAACTTAGTATGTCTTGGAAATGTGCCTGTGTCAGGTCGACTTTGTTTGTGTAATAGCTGAACAAGAATCCACAGCATAGCTGTATTCTAACATAGTTAACTGCTTCTCCACTAATGGATTTCCTCCCGATTAAAAAAAAAAGTAGCCGGGTGAGGTTATTTTTTAACCTGTGTGTGCTTGTGGTCCCAGCCAGTCCAGAGGCTGAGACAGGAAGACTGCTTAAGCCCAGGAGTTCAAGGCCAAACTGAGCAACATAACAAGATCTTATCTCTTTAAACAAAATGTGCCAGGCCCAGGGTTCAAGCACTGTAAAAGAGAAAGAAGAATTTCAGGCACAGTGGTGCACGCCTGTAATCCCAGCACTCGGGAGGCTGAGGCAGGAGGATCGCTGCAAGTTTGAGGCCAGCCTGGGCTACAAAGTGAG